ATACCATCAGCAGAGACGATGTGTCCAAGAAAAGTCACTTCGCTGAGCCAGAATTCACACTTGCTCAACTTAGCATATAACTTATTCTCCCTTAGAGTCTGAAGAACAATCCTTAAATGCTCCTCATGTTCTGCTTCACTTCTAGAATACACCAGTATGTCATCAATGAATACAACTACAAACTGGTCCAAATAAGGTCGAAATACCCTATGCATCAAATCCATAAAGCAGCAGGGGCATTAGTTAACCCGAATGACATCACTAAAAACTCATAATGCCCATATCGAGTACGGAAAGCAGTCTTCGGAATATCCGAATCTTTCAATTTAAGTTGATAATAACCAGATCTTAAGTCTATCTTTGAAAAGATAGAAGCCCCTCGAAATTGGTCAAATAGATCGTCGATTCTGGGCAGAGGATATTGTTTTTCACCGTGAGCTTGTTTAGTTTCCTATAATCGATACAGAGTCTCAATGTCCCATCTTTCTTCTTGACAAAGAGAACTGGGGCTCCCCACGGTGATACACTGGGTCGGATAAATCCCCTGTCCAACAACTCCTGGAGTTGGATTTTCAGTTCTTTAAGCTCCTTTGGGGCATACGATAAGGAGCCATTGAAACTGGGGTGGATCCAGAATAGACTTCAATCACAAACTCGACTTCTCTATCTGGAGGTAATCCAGGCACTCCTCGGGAAAAACATCGGGAAATTCCTTGACAATTCGGATGCTTTCAATATCGGATTGCGATCTCCTAGTGTCCAAAATATAAGCAAGAAACGCTTCGGAACCTTCCTGATCATCTTCTCCGCTACCAAGGCAGACACAACATTCGTCAGAAATCCACGTCGTTCCCCAATCATTACAATCTTTCGATTATCTGGGGTCTTCAGAACGGCTCTCTTAGTCTCAAAATCAATATTTACTCGATGTTTGTCCAACCAATCTACGCCAAGAATCAAATCGAACTCTTCAAAGGGTAACTCCATCAGGTCAACCAGAAAAATCTCCCCATTGATCTCTATAGGGCACTCTCTAAAAATACGATCCAACACGATGGATTGGCCTAAGGGACTTTGAACTATCACTGAATACTCAGTATTCTCAACAGGAATATTTAGACCCTCAGAAACGGAATGTGATACATAGGAATTTGTAGAGCCACTATCAAACAATGCAAAGTATGGAACTGAATGAATAGTAACAGTACCTGCAGTCACATTAGGCCCATCTCGATCTTGTCGAAGTCTAGTAGTGTAAACCAATGCAGGTTGTCTGGCCTCAGATCTGATTGGACCTCTACTCTGAGATGCTCGGCCTCTATTAGCCGATCCAGGTGCTCTCTCCTGAATACGTCCCCGTGCTGGAGTCTGAACTGTACTATGAGAACTAGCGGGAGTACGAGCTGGTCTGAACAGAATGAGGTATCTCCGGACAATCCTTCAAATAATGGTCACCAGATCCACATTTATAACAAGTGCCCAATTTCTTCCTGCATTCTCCAAAGTGATTTTTCCCACAATAATCACATGTTGGAAAGGGTTGCGACCCAAAGAACCACCATGTCTAGAAGACTGAACTGTTGAAGCACCAGATGCAACAGGTCTGACACTTGCACCGCCTCTCTGAAAAGAATCACCCCTGCCTCTCTTGCTAGGATGTGCAGAAGAATTAACAGAACCAGAAGGCCTCCTGAATCGATTCTGGGCTCGATCATTATCTCTCTTGTGCTCTATACCCAATCGCTCTATTTCCTCAGCAGTCTTGGCTATCTCAACCAGGGCGTCAAAATTTCTCTCGGTGGGTAGCGACTCGACTTCTGATCTCATACCTGAGTCCATTTTCGAACCTCAAGCATCGATCTGTCTCAGTGTCCACAAGTCCAGGAGCATATCGGCTCAATCGGATGAATTCAACCTCATAATCCATAACAGACATATTACCCTGCTCTAGATTCTGAAACTCCTGGCGTCGTTCCTGCAGATATCTCTCTCCGATGTAGCGACTCCGGAAGCGCGTCTTGAAAAGATCCCATGTTAATTGGTTCCTCGGAATACTACCAGAAATGGATTGCCACCATCTGAAGCTTTCTTTCTTCAACATAGTTAAGGCCCCTTTAACTTTTGCTCAGGTCTGAGGTCCATCTCATCCATAATCCTCTCTGTGTCCTCCAGCCAGTACTCAGCGTCTGTCGGAGGTCCACCAGTAATACCCTCAAATGGTACTACACCAGCAGCAACCAGAGAATTTGAAATCTCCACTGCAGTCATGTACTAGGGGCTCTAGCAGCTCTCTGAAACATGCGGAAGATAGCTCTATTAATGACGTCTTCATTCATCTCTGTATCCTCATCTTCAGTGACGGGAGGGTCTCTCACGGGAGTAAACTGATCATCATGAGAAAGAGTCGGATCTACTTGCGAAAAGGAGGATCACGTGCTGACATCGGATCGTCTATCGTAACAGAAGGTCGAGTGACTCGCCCTCTACCACGTCCATGTCCTGTCCTACGACCTCTAGCAGCATTCATCGTTGGATCTATAAGGCTCTACAGAAAGAATTTGAAACATGTGTCAGATTAGCATCAGGGATCTCGAGAAAACTTTAAATCATAACATAAGGTGACATTTTTTTTATTTTCTTAAAAATCCAAAATTTAGGACCCATATACAGTCCGAGTGTTTAAAACCAAAGGCTCTGATACCACCAAATGTAACCCCCTAGACCCAGTCTGTGAGTTAGACCCAACCTAAGTGGTCACATATCCCATTCAGAGGTTTTTTTTTTATATAACTTATAGAACGTTAAATATAATATAAAACATAATATTAATAATACAGATATGTCCAAAACGATAATAAAATACATGTCACCAAACATAACCGAAAACATACAAAATATATGTTCGTACAAAATAAAATAGTTGATTTCTCCTGATGCCAAATCTGCTAGCTTACGGTCTGCTGTTATCTGAAAAAAGTTAAAATTTACAGAATGAGCTAAGAAGCCCAGTGTGTTCCATACAGCGTACAAAAACATATTAATAAGATATTATCAATAAAAATCGATTTATGCAACATGTTTTTTTTAAATATGAACACTACCCCATCCGTCACGAACAAATTGTGTAGGTTCCCATAACCATACACCCCGTCACGACCAGTAAGGCCCTGAGCACAAAGCCGAGGAGCCTGCAATATTTTCTTCCTCCAACAATTCTTTTCCCCCCAATGACAGTAATAAACAAATATATTCGAGTAAAATGGTGATTAATCCATTAAAACATGAAAATGGATCATGCTTGAAAATCATATACAGAAATACGGTAATCAGATGTCGGTAACCATTATTCAGAAATCAGATATCATGTATCATGTCATAACAATATTTTGAATAATCACCATTCTGAAATAATTCAAATAATATTTTAAAACAGTAAAACAACACTGTCAGGAAACACACCTGTCACACTCTGAGAAATCGGATAGGGAATCCTACTATTGGGTTTGTCGATCACGTTCTGCTGCAGCACTAGATCCTACGAATTAGAAAAAAAATCCATATTGGAATCCTAATATAAATAATCTAAATATTATTTAAATAATATACGGAAACCTACGGGTAATTCTCGTAGTACGCGGTTCAGGCTGATCTAACGAACGGATAATACCGGACCTAATTGATCCTTGCTCAGGTGAAACACGAGTACCTTCATAAAATATTTTATTGAGTAAATCCTTGACCAAATCTCATTTAAATAATCAAAATATTAAATATTAAGCCTTTTGGGTTTACAAGCTTGATTCGGGAATTCGGGTCAGAATTTGGCAAAACGGACTTCGAAATCAAATTCAGGACGTCGAAAAATATAAAGTATGACCTTCCGAAATTTCGAATTCTTGGTCAAATTAAAGTCAACGGGTTGACTGACGATTTGGAGACTTTCGGGTTTGAATTTAGCAAAACGGACCCCAAAAACGGATTCGGAACGTCGAAAACTATCAGGATAGGTATTCTTGGTCGAAAACAAAGGTCGTTTAATAGTTGGTCAAAGCCGGTCAAAGTTCTGGTCAAAGGAGGTCAACAAACTACCCTTTAAAAAAATTACCGAAATAGCACCCATTTCGAATTAATTCCCAGAATAGCACCAAAACCGAATTAATTCCCAGAATAGCACGGTCAACGGTCAACGGGTCGGGTCAACGGGTCGGGTCGGGTCAACGGGTCGGGTAAACGGGTCGTGACCGGTCAAACCGGTCAAAACCGGTTCAAACCGGTTAAACCGGTCAAAACCGGTTTTCCAACGTTCACTCGCCTGCGGCGGCGCGTGTGGGCGCGTGCGACGTCCTCCGGGGCTCTAAAAATCACGGAAAAATTTCTAAAAATTATTTTGAGCGATTTCGAGATACTTACAAAGATCGGTTCAAATTTTTGAACGGCGGAGAGCTCGATTTCAACTCGGCCGAATCTTTGACTGATCCACCTCCCCACTCGCCGCCGTCAACGGAGATCGAGGATGACACCGGCGGACTCGGAACGACACAAGGAACACGATGGTGCGGGAGGTGTCGTAAAAGGAGCAACGATCGGCGATGAATTTAGGATTTTCTAAGCGATTGAGCTTAAAAAAAAACGTCGATGCTTTGACTTGAAATTCACGACGTTTGGCAGCGTTTCGCTTCAATTAAATTGAAGGGTTTGTTCCTCGCTTGATGATGAACACGATGGTGGTTTTAAAATGACGATCGGAATTCGGACGGCGTCGGGATCGTCGTCGGCAGTTGAGGTTGGGAGAGGGAATTTGGGAAGAATTGGTTTCTGAAATCAGAAACCAATTCACGTATATAATAGCCCTTACCTAACATTTTAGGGTAAATTCAGGGCTTGGTCCCTGAATTTTCTTTAACTCTTAAACAAGCTTCAAGTTTTAAAAACTTCCAATTTAGTCCCCAAATTTTCACCAATTACTCAATTAAAACCTCAATTCCCAATTAAATATTATTTTAAAATTTTCGGGTTGTTACACAGAAAATAACAGCTTGAATTATAGTCAGCGTGTCATAAAGATCACAAAGTGTATCGAACTTCCACTCCTCCCTTTCAACTGCTACAAAAAACTGCTTAATTCCCTGTAATAATGGAAACAGAAGAAATATTTGACTTGAGTCCCATATTACTATTAGAAGTTGAAAAAATCTCATTAGCATGACAAGCATTTGATTACCTCCAGAGTCGATTCATCACGCTTCACAAGGATCCTTATAGGATCAGTCATAAATTTGCTCGTCATTTCCAAGATTTCATGAGGGAGGGTAGCAGATATCAGACAAACCTACAAGAATTCATTAATCAGAAATCAATTTCAACAAACATAAACAAAACCCAGATAAGGATAAAGAAAGAAAACAATGTTTGTAGTACCTAAAATGACCCGAACCCAAAATAACCCAAGCCCGTAACTAAACCAAAAATTTAAAACCTAATTGACCCAACCCAAATTAACCATATCTGAAACCAACCCAATTCACCCAATTGATAGGTCTAACCACATCACAACTAAAATTGTAAAAGCAAGCAAGAAAAATTTAAGCACTAAGCAACACAAAGTCACAAACTTGCACCTAAGAACTTTAAATTTATTACAGAATTCATTGAAAGGATTAGAAAGCCTCATAACAAAGAATAAGAAAAACTTGAACAACAAGGCAATTTTAAGAAACTGATGAAAGAACCTGAAGCTCTGGTGGAAGATGTCGGGAAACATCATAAATTTGATCTTTGAACCCTCTGCTGAGCATCTCATCATATTCATCAAGAATCAGTAGTTTAATAGCCCTAGTACGTAGGGTTCTCCACTTGATCATGTCACAAACCCTACCGGGAGTTCCCGACACTACATGAACTCCATGTTCTAGCTTTCTTATATCTTCACCCACACTTTTTCCCCCAATACAAGCGTGTGCTTGAATGTTCATGAAATCATCGATTGTCCTTATCAACTTCTCCGTTTGTGAAGCTAGTTCCCTTGTGGGTGACAAGATCAATGCTTGAACCCTGAAATAAACCAGTTAACATTATAGAAAAAACTGCAGATGCTAGGGAATTCATGTTTTAAAATATTGAAAATAAATTTCCAATTAATTATAGGAAACCATCACGAGATTTAAAAATTACTTTCCGCATGTTTTATCGAGTGGCTTTCACGTAAAGAAAAGATACGAAACCGATATCACAACACATTTAAAGCAACAGAAAACGAGTAATTTCATCTAATGCGTTTCAAATTTAGGGTTTTAGCAATCAGGGTATTAAAAATTAGTACAAGAAATTGGTATCGCAACACATTTAAATAAGCAGAAGACTAATTTTGAAAAGGATTTAAAATTAAAACATACTCTCTGCTAGCAGTGTCGACAACTTGGCATACGGTCAGGGCAATCATTGAAGTTTTGCCGGTACCAGACTGGGCTTGGGCAATCACGTCGCGACCATTAATTGTCGGCATAACCGCTCTCTGCTGGATAGCCGAAGGCTTCTCGAAGCCGTAATTGTAGATTCCACGGAGGATATCGTCTTTAAGTCCCATCTGAACGAAGCTCATTATCGGCTCAACTCCTTCCGTCGTCTCGAACACTAACTTCTCATCCTCGGCTCCCATACGCCGAGTCGCTCGGCTAGTTGTCGCCGCCGCCGACATACCTCGGCCACTGCTTTGCCTAAAGTCTCGCTCGAAGGTTAAATAAAAGAGAGTAATTAATAATAAAAGGATGGCTGAAAACAGAAATACAAGAGGGGGCGAAAATGACAGGTCGGTCTAGAAAATTTGAAATTACAATCCATTATTAACTTAAAATCATATTATATTTTAAAAATAATTAATTTAACAAAATCGGTGATTTTCCAAAAAAAAAAATCACCTTACACTTATATATTTCCTTGTCAATCACCGTTCAGGTTATATTTCTCAATCTAATACCCTTTACAGAAAGGCACACATCATGCACTGTGCATTAGGCTGATCTAACGTCACGTAGGGTAAGGAACGCCCCTGCAGCGCGTCTTGTTAAACGTGTAAAAATTCTGATGTTAATTTTGTAAATATTTTTAAAGTGACGTCTAATATGTAATTAATTTCTATTATTTGTATAAAAATGTCAACTTTATCTATTTATTTTTTTGCGATATTATTTTTAACAACATTTAATAATGTTTCTTGACTTTTAAAATTAATTGTTTAACAATAGTAAAATAAACTTTTAATTACTATTGAGAGATCAAATTATTTATTATTCACTTTTTTTAAAATAAATAAAAAAATGCAATAAAAATAAATTAAAAATAAATAAAATTCAATAAAAATATAATGTAAAGCTAAAAAATATCACATCTTTATTTAAAATATTATTTTTAATATTAACTTTAAAAATATAAAATAAATATTAATTTTTAATTTTATTAAAATGAATAAACATTGTTAACTGTTGTTAAAAATAATAATTAGTGAATAATAATTTATTTGATCCCTCAATTGTAATTAAAAGTTTATTTTAGTCAAGTTTATGATTATTAAACACTCGTAGGTGTGGAAAGCTACAGGAATCGAATGAAAATTTGATCGTACAAAGTCAATAACTTAAAATTGTCTAACTGTTGTCTAAATATCAACTCAATTGTACCACGAATAAACTTCCGATCAAAGAGTTTATCTTTTCTAAATAATAATTCATTTGATCCCTCAATTGTAATTAAAAGTTTATTTTACTCAAAGTTATGATTGTTAAACAGTCGTAGGTGTGAAAAGTTACAGAAATCGAATGAAAATTCGATCGTACAAAGTCAATAACTTAAAATTGTCTAACTACTGTGTAAATATCAACTCAATTATACCACGAATAAACATCCGATCATAGAGTTGATATTTTCTGCTCAATCTTCACAAAAACTGTTTTGTCTCATCATTAATTATTATTCTTTAACAACAGTTAATAATGTTTATTCATTTTTAATAAAATTAAATTTAATATTTATTTTATATTTTTTAAAATTAATATTATAAAGAATATTTTAAATAAAGATGTAATATTTTTTAGCTTTACATTATATTTTTATTGAATTTTATTCATTTTTAATTATTTTTAATTATTTTTAAAAAATGAATAATAATTCATTTGATTTCTCAATTGTAATTAAAAGTTTATTTTAATATTTTTAAATAATTATTTTTAAAAGTCAATAAATATTATTAATTGTGGTTAAAAATAATATTACAAAAAAATAGATAAAGTTGGTGTTTTTACACAAATATCACCCTAACATAAATTAATTACATATTAGGCACCACTTTAAAAATATTTATAAAATTAGCACCCGAATTTTTTACACGTTTAACAAGGCGCGCTACAAGGGGTGCGCCTTACTCCATATGGCGTAAAGCGCGGTGCAGGAGATGCGCCTTTCTGCAAAGGGTGTTAGATCGGGAAATATAGTTTGAACGGTGCCTGGCAGGAAAATATATAAGTGTAGGGTGACTTTTGGGGAAAATCGCCAACAAAATACTATATTTTATAAATAAAAAATTATAAAGCACTTTATTTATTTAATGCCGGGTAGGTTGTACCAAATTGATTGAAAAATAATTATACTCCTTTTTAATAATATCTAATATTATTATAAATATTATTACTTTTATATATTTAAATAAAATAATTAAGTACTACTTATTAAGTATTATTTAATATTTAAAATAAAATAATAAAACCAAATCTTTTATTACTTTACTTATTATTTGTTTTTAAAAATATATTTTCTACATGAAGTATTTTATATATCCATATCATGAACATGATAAAATGTAGAGTTAAGTACACAAATGGTCCCCGACTATAAATTATTGTTTTATCAAGTTCTTCGTAACGTCTCAAATCTCGAATTGGGAGTTCATGCTAACCTGATAAGGTCTTAGAGCAAACCTATTAGCCTTTAAGAAAACCATGACCCAAGTTGAATGGATTTGGGCCTAGTTGAGCTCAATATGAGTTTAAAAAAGGGACACTTTATAATGGAGTTAACTTGGGAGATCAAAGAAACAATTTGCCCATCAACTTTTTCAAAAGTTGAATTCCCTTAATGTGGGATGATGTCAACGTGAAAGAGAGCTTTGTCTCTTTTTCTCCACCCTTATCTTCTTGTTTCATATTTCTCTCATTCTTCTTCCTCTTGTAATCTTCAAAGGTGGTAACTTGGCCTTGCAACCCTAGTTTGGCCTTTTAAAGGTAAGAATCTTAATCCTCACCTTTAGAGCTTCAAATCAAGCTCTCAACCTCTTGATTTTACCATGTTTTAAAAATGGGTTTGTAGGGGGTTTATATAACTTATGTGTTTCAATCCGTTATAGAGAGTTTAAGTCTTAGGATGTGTTCTTAAACCCTTCTTAACTTTTATACCAAGCTAGTAACTCAAGTGTTTGATTCTTGTTTAGTGAGAGAAGTTGGAGAAAGCTCCAAAGTTAAGGGGAATGAAAAGATAACACTTGGTTGAGCCTTGAACACTTCCAGTAACTTAAGAAATCATGGTAACTCACATCTAACTCAACTCTACTACACATTGTAGATCACTAGGTGAGTTTGTTAGTTTGTATGAGTCATCAAGCATGTTCATGGTAGATTTCAGTGTTTGGGTTTTTTTAACATGATTACAGACTTAATATGACCCATATTATCATACATAACACTTTAATAATATTTAGTGACCTTAGTAGGAAGTTTGGGATTGTTGGAAAGGCATTTTCGTGCCCAAAATAGGGTATTTTTTGGCGAGAGTATCGGTACTGGAAGAACAGTGTCGATATTATTCTTCATATGCTATAAACAAAGGGATTTTGGGATAGAATTATCGATAATCGTAGGGTGATATTGATACCAAGTTCACTTAGCAGATTCCAGTAGCATCTGTACTTAGGCATTTTCCAAAACATCGAAGACAAATTTAGTACCGGTACATAGGAAATTATCGATACCTCAGACCAGGGGTATCAATATTGACCCTTTGATATTAGCCTTCAATAAGTCATTAATATCGATACCCATAAGTTAGTATCGATACCCATAAGTTAGTATCGATACCCAGAAGTCAGTATCGATACTGAGGGGCATAATATCGGTACCCATGAACAGTTTTGGGTAAGAAACCCAAAGGTTTTAAGGGATATATTTGAGGCACCCAATAACACCATAACACCATGAAATAAAACTACAAGTGAAAATAGAAAGAAAAAAAAAACTCAGAACAGTTAGAAACAATAACAATTAGGATGCCATAAAACTAGTATTGTTTGACGCTCGAGATATAGTCAGGACACCTAAGTTACTTTAACAGATACGATCGTACAGTTTGATATCCCAGTAAGTATCAAGGTACTTCAGTTGTCAGTTGAGTACAGATGCCCCAAGACTTGACGGAGTAAATTGGCTTGGTGTACTTTTTCGATGCAGTTCCAGATCTCACCCTAAATATCCAAGGGTATATAGGAATGCTAGAGGGGTGTGTGAGCTCCAAGATGCAGAACCCTCAACCACACCATGATGCCTACCTCAGCATGTCATATTAGCATTTTCTTAAGTCTTCATACATATGGCTATAGCATGCACATTTAGTGAATGCATGTAGTATAGTATAGTTATTAGTGAGGCACTGAGCTCGTAAGCTCAGCGTTCATAATGCATTTCCGTGGATAGGTTCTTAGGAGGCCTTCAATGGAGAGTTATCGTCACCATATATTCCCGCTCAGCAAAGACTCCAGAGTACATCTTGATTTGTATTAGAGGGCATGTACTATTGTAGACCTTATTATTATTCAATCATAACTCTATTTTATTTTAAACTCAGTGTATTATTTTGGATGATTGAGAGCTCCCTAGCGTTGTAAAACTCAGATTTATTTTGCTTTTATTTTATATCACTTGAATGATTATTTTATAACATTTTACATTTGTTTTAAAAGAAAAATTTTAGGTTAGCCACTTCGGTGGTCCCGTTTGACATCATAGTCCATCGATATTCGGGTTAGACTGGTTAAGGTGTTACACCTTCGACTATTAAAAGTTACAAAATGGTTCTTCGATTATAGAGTGTTGCTTTGTTAAGTCCTTTGACTAGTAAAAGTTATAAAATGGTCACCTTACTATTCATTATGTTTCAAACTCGTCATTTTCTGTTAAAAATTGACAATATTATGTGACGAACACTAACCTATTGACGGTGATATGATAAAATCTTATCTGAAAATCTCAAATGACCATCACATTTCAGTCATCATGTTAACATCAAACTTCGACAATTATCAATTTTTTTAAAGGAAAAGGACGCGTTTGGAACATAATGAATATTTTGTAACTTTTAATAGTCAGAGACTTAATAAAGTACTACCCTATAGTCGGGAGACCATTGTGTACTTTACCCTAAAACCTAATCTAGTATAAATGCTTTTTGTATTTTTTTCTTTTTTATTACAAATTTATATGCTTTTAATAGTATTTTCTAATAAATAAAAATAAAATCAAAGTAATTTATCATTTTTATTTTTTAAAAATAATCAAATAAATAGTTATTACTAATTTTAAAAAAATAATGTCATATATTATATTTCGTGTGAGAATTTTATAATAGTTTAATTATTCAATTTTTGGTGTATTCTTTGTGAAGTATAGAGTCAAATTTTTTAAATCCTCACTTTACGCAAGAAGAAAGATTATCAATTCTAATGAATATATGAACATTAATTATTAAATTATTCTCAAAATTTTTAAATAAATA